TCTACTCTACTCTACTCTACTCTACTCTACTCTACTCTACTCTACTCTACTCTACTCTACTCCATCCCATTCCATTCCATTCCATCACCACAGGGTAGGACAAGAAATAAACGTGCTGTTGAGTTTTGTCCAAACCAGTAGATTTTGAAGTTCTTCTTCTGCCTGGACTTCATTTGCCTTTAACCTTTCCCTGGAGGATTAAGTGAAGTATACTGTATTTTTTTTCCGAGTGTCACATCACATGTCCAAAATATTCTAACTTTTGCTTTTTAATGGTTTCAATGATTTTCCTTGGCTTCCCCTATCATCTCCTCATTCCTGATTTTGCTCTATATTTCACCCTATATGAACGTTAAAAATCATGTTAATGGCGGCAAAACCCTATAACTGATTAGGATGCAAAAAGAGACGGCGAGAGATTTGTATTTTCGGACCTGCGAGAGTCTATTAAAGTAGTCTTACAATAAAGTAGTTCCAAGAAGCCTCCACACCCATTTGCACTCTTTTGTGGGCCAGTGGTGGGATTCAAAATTTTTTTACTACCAGTTCTGTGGGCCTGGCTAGGTGGGTGTGGCCAGGTGGGTGTGGCCAAGTGGTCACGTGACTGGGTGGGTGCGGCTAGGTGGTGCTCAGGATTCCGGCAGTTACCCCAGTTAAATCATGAGCGTCAAGGAGTCAAACTTCCCAAACTACAAAGGATTTATTGGGCGTTAACATGCCAGCATGACCTGGGTGTAGCTGACTCTGAAGACACTTACTTCGCTGTCACCTTTGACCCTGGTTTTCCCCCACCCCTTATGTCAACTCATAAAACATTTCTATGCCCGTTTTATAGGTGCCAGTGGTCAGGTGTGACTGGGAGGAGTGTCAAAAGTCTGTTTTTTCTTTCACAGAGAAGCATTTTGAAGTCCTCCAAGGTAAGTACAACAGCAGGGTGCGACAATCATCTGTGCCGCGCAATTTAGATTAGCTAGAAAGCAAGAAATCTGACAACTTCCTGCTTTCTAGTTTAATCTAAATTGCCCGGCACAGCTGATCGTGGAAAATACAAGTTTGGCCGAACTGGTAGCATTTTTTATTTTTTTTACTACCAGTTCAAGTGAACCGGGCTGAACCAACAGCATTTCACCTCTGCTGTGGGCACAGCTAAACCACCAAGTGGCCTCAATGGCTCTCAGAAAGAATACTAATGACCAGAGGATTGCCTTTCATTCAATCAGAACAGAAGAAGCTGCCAAGGGAAACTACAACAGTCATAAATGTGACTCAGTTGCTAAGCATCAGGTTTTGATCTCATGAACACGGGGATCCTGCAACAGTCGTTGAGTGTGAAAAAAAGGTGACAAGTCAGTTCTTTGAGTCCTGTTGTACCTTCAAATGGTCACTAAATAAACTGTTGTAAGTTGAAAACTACCTGTAAGACAAAAATCAGGATTTCTGGTGACACGTTTTCCCACTAAGAGATTTTATTCAAAAGAGGAAAAAAACAGTCCTTCTCTTCTCTGATTTTACTTTATTCTCTGGAAAAGAGAGAAGGCACAGTTGTCAGAGGAAAAAAAAAAGCTGTAAACATGAGAGTAATTAGTAGCTTGGCTAGAAAGCAGGATTCTGGACCTTTGGGAGAAAGTAAATCCAAAGTCACACTGGCTAAATTTCAGCCTGTGTGGAGGATCGATTTAAAAGCAGAGGTGACTCTGTCCAGGGGCTTTGTGGATGAAATTTGGGTTTTGTAAAAAGTGTTTTGCTTAATTTGAATTTGGAAAAGGGGGCAGGGGGAAAAAGAGGCCCTTGGATCAAGGCAGGAAGACGCTCATCCTTCCAGCCATCAGCCTGAGATGAAAGAAAATGCAATCATCTTATGCTTAAGTTCCACAGAGATAGTTTCTCTCTATCGCTGGCCTCCCACACATCTCTCTTTGTCCTAGAATTGCTCATCCAGAATTCTTGAGCAGTTTCCAAGATTTCATTTTATGTTATTTAATTTCATTTCACTTCATTTCATTTCATCTTCTCTTTCTTTCTTTCTTTCTTTCTTTCTCTCTCTCTCTCTCTCTCTCTCTCTCTCTCTCTCTCTCTCTCTCTCTCTCTCT